ATAGATAAGGTGGAGAAGGCCAGAGGACAAAAGTCCAGGAAGGAAGGGTGGAGAACAAGTGAAAGATGAGGCGTTCAAAGGGAGAAATGGCCGGCTCACGTGGGACTCAGGTTATGAGATGACAGTGTAAACACAGGGGACACTGCAATGGCTGAGGACACAAAGCAGGCAAGGTCAGCTTCTGGCCCCCACTCAGCCTGTGTACACCACAGGAAGAAACGGAGGACAGGAAAACCCTTAGAGAGACCTATGATGGGATGATAACACCCAGAGGGACTCAGAACTGGGGGGGGGGGCGCGAAAGGAGGAAGAGTGATCACAAGAGATGGAGACTGGACTATCTTCTTTGCTTACCTGGGATTGGCTTGCAGGATTTACCGAGAACCTGAAATAAAAGTGAGCAAGTAATTTCTGAGCGCCTGTGTTGTATCAGGAAGTATAGCAGGTGCTACATTAAGAGGCATTAGCACTAGACCTGAACCTGAGAACTTGGCCTCAAGAAGCAGCCCTATCATGGCCAAACCCATACCCTTACCCCAACTCTGTGGTCCTACACACCACACTCTTCTCAAGCATACTCTGATATGACTGCCCCCACCCCACCTTAAACATAGTCTCAAGTAGCTCAAGTGGGCCTTGAACTGGATATATAGCTGAAGGTGATCCTGAACCTGTGATTCTGATCCTCCAGCTTCTATCTCCTGAGTGCTGGGACAGTAGGCCTGTAACACCATGCCTGGCTCATGCAGTGTTGGGGATGGAACCCAGGTCTTCATGCATGCTAAGCAAGCTCTACCAACTGAGCTACATCCCTAGGCCTCTAGGATTGTTTCTTTTCATTTCAATCACAGACCTGAGGGAAGACCCCTTAGTCCTGTCCTCACAATTTTGAGCCAACTCTCATCTCACCCTGAGATTTCACCTGAGTTGGATAGTTGACAAACTGTAGTGCTGAGTTGCTGGAGACCATGGCACCCACATAGGAGACAGAGCAGGCGGCATAGAGCCAGGTCCGAGTACGATCCACCCTGGCGGTGTCAAAAAACTGGATCACTGGGAGAAGACAAAAATAAAACAAAAACAAACAAAACATACAAGAGAAACCCGGTGGGGCAAGGATGGACTACTAAGCAAAAGCTGAGGCCATATGAAAGGAACTTGTCTGTCAAATAAAACAGATATTTCTATCCTCTTAAGCTGGGAAATTTCTGAAAATTATTCAACTCTCCAGTTCCCCTTAAGCCTAACAAGACCACATGCAGAGTGGAGGTAGGGATTCATTGAATTCTAGAAAGGATGGCTTAACTCTGCCAATAGGCTTCAAGGAACAAAGACATGTTTGAAGCTGTCATACAAAGCAAAGTCAAAGGGATAAAGGGGAAAATGTTCTAAGTATTTTCAATGGGGATTTGGAATACAGAAGACCCAGTCATTTCTGTCTCAAAAGTTGGCATAATTTAAAGACCTAATATGTTAATCTCATTTCACAGCCATTGGCTTTACAGACTGCAGAGAGGCTGTTTAAATACTCAAGGGTATGGAGGTAGGGAAAACTTAGATTTTAAAGATGAATCCACGTCTCATGCCCAGAATATGGGGGAAGGGAAGATACACCCAACAAATTACTATGAGGTACTCACAGATCTTGGCAAACATAGCATTGATCACACACTGGATGAAGACCAAGGTTAAGGCAAAGGTGAATGTCTCCTGTTTGGGTCCTTCCCCATACTTTCCTCTAGTTCTAAGATGAAATGCATGAAAAAGAGGAGAAATTAGTATATGTCACTCGGTGTCATCAAGTATGTTCAGAGCCACTGAGGGCTTTGTTAAATATCGTGCTTTTATGGATGCAGTGAAAGTTAGTAAGCAACAATGAGTTTATTTACCCAAAGGGACCGACTTTATTTAAACCCAGAAACTAGATAGGCTAGCTTACTGATACCATAACCTAAAGAAAGAATATCCGGAAAGAATACAGGTAGTGGCAACAAGGAAAGTCAGATAGCGGGATAAAAGTCTCAGTAGGAAAGCAAGACCGACAGCAAATGATTAGCGGTCTGCAAGCACCTGAGAGCTCAAAAAGAGATCTGGCTCTTGTAATCAACAAAGGTAAAAACATCTAAAGGAAAAAAAAGAAGGAGAAGAAGAATCGCATCCCCCAAAATTCAGAGGCCGGCCCGCCCTGGAATTTTAGAATTACAAGGATGCTCAGCCGGCAATGCATAATAGCAGAGTGCAAAGGAGGTCAGAGGGCCGGGCCGGAGAAGGGGGAAACCCACACCAGACACAGGAAGCCAGCCGGAGGGCCAGGCCGTAAAGTGGGCGGTGGACACTGCATGCCGACCTTGGCTGGGGATGTTAGCGGTCCTGCCCCCCAAGGGTCCACTCACATCTTCTCCTGTAGGATCCCATAGTAGAAATAGCAAACAAAGACACCCAAGAAGCACAGCGGCAGGCGCAGCCGGTCGGGCACCAGGGATCTGCTAGCGGCCATGAGACGCACGGACGAGTCGGCCGGAGACCCGCTCAGAGCAGGTAGCGGTAGCGGCGGCGAAGGCGAAAGCTCCAGGCGGACATCGCCGGCCGGCGGCAGGGGCCTCATAGGAGCTGCGTGCGACCGCCGCCTCGTAGGACGGGGCAGCCACCTCCAGAACTGCCAGCTCACAACTGCCTGGCGGAAAACGCCTCCCGCCCCGGCAGCGGCATTCTAGGAAAGAAGGCAGGTCTTGAGACCTTGGCTCCCTTCCTGGTGGCCAGGAAAGCCCGCCATATCGAGGTTAATGCATCATCCCCTAGATTTTTCCGATCAGGCAACGCCAAGGACTCCTATAACCCGGAGCTCTGTGGGGAGGCCTAGAAAACAACCCGGCGTATAGTAATGACGTACAAGTATGTGGACTTTATCAATTGGCTACGCGGAGCGAAAATAGACAAATGGGCGGAGAAAGAGGCGGTGAGGCCAGGAGTGAATCAAAAGTCTTTTTTTTTTTTTTTGCGATCGGCTGTCAGGCCTCGGCTGGGTCCTAACGCCTCCATCTCTTCATAGAGCCGTAGCGCCCTCTAGCCGCTGCCCAGCGTCAGCGACTCCAACCCCGTCTATGGGCGTTCAAGGCCTGCCTGAGGAACATGGGTCTTCTGACACTTGACTAGGTTTCCAAGGCAGGAAGTCTTTTGGGCAGGCTCCGTGATAAATCAGGGCTCTTGTCACTTAAAGGCAGCACAGCAATGTTACTTAAATTCTGAGCCACAGTTTTCTCACTCTGTAAACTAGGGATAATTAGTAATAACCACCCTGTCACCCCTTGAAGGTTCTGAGGATTAAATGAGCTAAGGTTTGCCAAAGTGTTTTACAAACTGTAAAGTATGCTGTGCAAGTTTGAGGTATTATTAGTCATGATATTTTTCTCAACTTCAATCTTATTTCTCACCTCTTTGAGGTGAAAACTTCGTGTTTATTGAAATCTCCAACTTGCTATGTAGGAGAATGACCTTGAACTCACAATCCTTCTCTCTCCACCTCCCCTCCAAGGCCTTCCAACCCTCACACATTCCCCTTCCCGTTATTGGGATCATCCTTGGACTCCTCCCCAGTCCGGTGACTGGCTCTCCACCTGCTTGACTAGAATTGCCAAAGCAAGACTAACACCAAGTGCCCCACCTAATAACTGGTCCAATTTGCAGGCAGCCATGGACCTCCGGCCTGCTTTTCTCTTCTAGGAGCCTGGCTCCTTTGGCACAGCCTAAGGCAAAGGAAGGAAAGGCCAGGCAACACCACACCCATCACTGGGGACCTGACTCACTAAGGCTTTGGGGACAAGCCAGACATCTTTCAGGGCTAGGAAGACTAAGAGAAGATAGGCTCTGTCCCTTGCCTACTGTCTTATTTTGGGAAGAGGAAATACCACACTTTTACTCTTGCTCTTTGTTTTACTCTACCGAATCAGCAGACACTTCCAGGGAACCAAACAGTAACTGGGTGAGTAGTGGATTTCATTTCTGCCTCCTTAATTTACCAACTGGGAGCACAAACAATTCACTTGACCTGGGTTGAGTTTCCCTATGAGAAATCAATGGCAATATAAGAACCAGCAGGAGAACTCTGTGGTTAGAAAGCACTGACTGTGGAGAGACGTGATCATGGTTCCTTTTCTTACTCCCCAACTTGGTATGCTCTTTTTGGAAAAAGTTATTCAGTCTTTTTGACCTTCCTTCACTCAGAGTGGTACTTTTATTTCTCTCATCCAATGGTTGTCCCATTTCCAGTGACATTTCATTTAAAGCCCCTAACTTGGTATTCATTGGTTTGGTATCCAAACCAATGGATAGTGGTTGGGATAACCTGGCCTAGCGGGTCTATCCTGAGCTCTTCTGGGACAGATATAATTGTACCCATTAGGGTAAACTTTCCATCCAATAGAATGGGTATGTCTTTTGCTGGAATGCCTCCTAAATTCCATGCACTAAGAGAATGTTGGAATGACGATTCCCACTTTTCCCAGGCATCTAAGTGCTCTTACTGTACAGCACCAACTGAGAGGCTATGAAAAGACAAGAACAGTTTCTGTGCCCCCTCCAAAGCTACATACCGAGACGTACGCATGGTAGCTAAAACTTAATGCTGTCTTAGCTGCATGTCATTCCCTGTTCTCATTCCACTGCCAGAGCAAGGGGTACCTGCAATGTCAAACTGTCTCCTTTCAGTTGCTCTCATGTTCTCTCTCAAGTCCACTATCCCTCAGGAGCCTTTTCAGACTGTCCTTAGCACCTTCCCTAGTGACTCCCATATCCACTTGCAGAACACATCCTGCTCTCCATTCTAGACAACACTACCGTTAGTGTGTCTTTGTGAAGGTCTCTAGCAAGGCCCATCCTTATAGCAACTAGACCATGATGTGTTAAATGGAGGCTTCTTCTATTGAAGACAGGCTAGAGTGACAGGTATAGCACCTTTCATTCTACCCCATTCCTCCCTTCCCAGGTATTCAAAAAAGCCAAACTGCTGGAATACTTATTTATTTGGTCTATTAACATCAAGATCTGCAAAAAACAACCTCTAAACACAAGATAAGAAAACTTGAACATTAACATTCTTCAATTTTGTGTAAGCTCTGCAGTACGGAAAATATACAAACTTCAAATAGCTGCAAAAATAGTGTCTTTGGGAGAAAATAGAGTTTCTACATCGATACAAGAAAATAGGCATTTTTCTAATCCAACCCAACCCTGGAGCAGGTGGAGGGTATGGAGCCACTACATGCCACCTGGAGGAATGCCAGCTCTCCCTCTTCCCACTATCCACTTTGGGCTGGGATGCTGCTTAAGACAATCTTTAGTCAGGGTAAAAGTGAGATGAAATGCCACTTGGGAAATCTCCTGGTCCCCTGCCAACAGCTGAATTGGTCAAGTGTACTGGCCCTGAGGACCACTTTGGTAGCTCCTCTAGGAAGGAGGCATCTGGTCTGCTCTCCTCTGTCTCTGGAGGTGGAGCTATAAAGAAGTCTGTGGCATCTCCCCTCTCTCATTCACAGCCACCTTGTTCCATAACAAGACCCTCCTATAAGTCATTTGAACTCAAGACCTTCTAGCAAGTGAGGGAAGCTGCAGGTACACAAGTGTAAGTTGTGAGCTGCCTAGCTGCTAGTGGAGAAGGTCAGTCTCCTCGCCTTTGGAGGGGCTGACATCCACCAAAGGACCTGGGGCTTTGACACAATAAATGAAAGTGCTCAAAGGCCAAGAGGGAAGGGCTCCTCCATCCCCCATCTTGGGAAGCTAATGAAGAGCTTGCCACCAAGGCACTAGTCTCCATGGTAAAAGTGTGTGGGCGGGGGGACTCAGACTACCAAGGAGCTCTGGAAAAGCACAGACTCTTCTGATGGTGGGGTGCGCTGCCATGGTTCAAATGGCAGTGAGGAGGCCTTGGAAGCTTCTGGATCCTTCCGAGGTGGTGTCCTGGGGCTGGCAGGGGGAAGAGGAGAGCCAGGGCTGGAGGGGCAGTTCCGGAAGATGAAGCCCATGCTGGGGAAGAGGGGCTTGATCAAGCTGACAGGGCAGAAGGCTGAGCCAGTTGGGTTGAAATGGACTTTGTTCTTATCAGGACAGGAAGTCAAGAAGGCCAAGTCAGGACCTGGGGACCTAAAGGATGGAGAAAGCCACAGACATGTAAATACACAGAAAAACAGTGAAAGAAGGGAGACTTTGCTTCAGCAGGGCACCCTGAGAGCTTATTCCCTATTCTGAATCAGAGAAGACAGAAACCTAAGCAAAACCTCAAAAGTTCTGCTACTTTTCAGTCCCTTCGGGTCTCACTGCTGCTGCAGTGGGTTTTGCCTGAAGCAGGGCTCCTGGCCTAAGTCCTTTTGACATCTGTGGTTGAATAACTCCCTGTTTCAGGGATGGGTAGAGAGGCACTGCCACGCATGTCACAGGACATTTAACAGCATCCCTGACTGTACCACAACTAAATATCAGCTGGATCATGTCTCCTCCTCCTCCCCACTTATGACAACTAAAAATGTATCTTGGGCTAGGGTTTGAATGTGCAAGGCCCTGGGTTCTATTCCCCAATATAGAAATATATACATAAGAGGAATTTCTCAGTAGGAAAACTGGTAAAAATGAGTTCTTAGGAAATAACTGATCAACACCACCTTTCTTAAGGTCTGATGCAGAGTGGGAAGCTAGAGGAGATGACTGTGAGACTGCCTGTATCTTCATGAGTCTGTGACACAATGAGGACCAGTCACAGCCTCACTTCCATCTTCGTTCATGGTGTGGAGTGAAGGAAGCTAGAAGAGCCCAGCCTGTAGAAGCTATGAGAGAAAGACTCTTTCTTCCACAATGCCTCAGAGGACCAAAAGCCTGAAGAACTCCAGGCAGCAGTGGGGACAGTAACAAACACCTGCTGACAGCTGTACTTTTCCAGAATGCCTACCAACATGGGTTGTCTTCCTCCTCGGTTGAGATACAAATGGTGCCCTCAATGCCCGAAACCCAGACCTAGCCAAATCTTTACTCCCACACTATGACTAAACTTCCTGGCTGCTATCGAAACCACAACTTCCAGTGTGAATCTGCCCAAATGAATACAAAGCTGCAGGAGCAAAGAGAGCAAGCCCTCCCAGACCTGCAAAGGGGACTGACTGGGGTGGCCTCTGGAACAGCCATACTCAAACCCACACAGATGGTAAAGAGATTGGTGGGTGGCTTCTGAACCTTCCAATGTGATTTGAGAATATTCCAAAGTTCTTTCTTGCAAGAATTAGAGATTGCTTTCTGGAAGTTCACAACACTAGAACTGAACAGTCAGCCAGGGGGTAAAAAAGTACTGGTATGTTCATTTTCTCTCATTCATTTATATTCTGTCTCTGTCTCTGTCTCTGTCTCTGTCTCTCTCTCTCCTCTTTCTCTCTCTCTCTCTGGTTATGGTCTAGCAAGTCCTCACACTTTCCCCAGGGATGTTAAAAAAAAAAAATAGAAGGAACAAAAGGCTTGGGTTTCAGATCTCTTTCCCTTCCAGCTCCTGCTGCGCTTGTGGCTGGCATGTGGGCAGAAAGCAGGTTTCTATGGAGATAATGATAAGCAAAGATTTAAGTGCTCAGAGTAGGTAATGTCAACAAGTTTGATCATGGAAAATCTGCGAGACTGATCTTCCGATGTTGACAGCACCTCAGACTGGAGAGAGTGGAGACTGAAGAAGGACCTGTCAGGTGGGATAACACGGGCTCAGCCCCCATTCTCCCCTCCCTCCCATGCCCCATCCATGGGATGTACTCACGTGGCCTCCTCAAACACACGCACTCTCTCACAGCCTTCTGGGGGCTCCCGTTTGAAGACATAGCTGTGATTGGGCCGAGGGGAGGCAGCAAAGGCAAGGACTGGAGATGGACTGCCATCTTCTAGGAAGGCTGGTTGGCCTGGAGAGGAGGCTACAAACAGGGCAGTGTTGAGTCAGTGGAGACAAAAGAAAGCCTCCACTTTCCCCAGCTCAAGCCTTCCGTGCAAAGCGTGTTTCATCCTATGCCATTGAGGATGGGGGTGTGGCTCAGCTATAGAGCACTTGCTAAGCAGTATGAGACCATGGGTTCTATTCCCAGTACCACCACCAAAGGGCACAAAAGTTGCTGAACTGATAGAAAAAGGTTCTTTTTAGTCCTGTATTCCCAGGAACCAAGAGACTGCCTGGATCTCTGACATAAAGGAAACTACCTGCTGTCCCTCTGCCTTCTCCTGGGAGCAGTGCCCTGCCCAAGGAAAACCATAGCTTCATCCTGTCTGCATTTTGGAAAAGCTGTCTCCTCTTTGCAGAGAGTACTCCTATATTAACTCCAAGAAGCAACCTTGACTCTACCCCACTCAGAGTATAAAATTTCTCTCACTTTCCATCCTGTAACTGCACTTTGCCTAGGCTGCAAATATTGACTTTATCTGTGTTTCTCTTACATTTATTCCTCCTCGTTCTGTGCTCTGTTTATTTCCCCGTGTATATTGTTAGATCGTGCCCTTGGCTAGCCTACCTCATGGGGTTAGTACGAGCAGTGAGTCAGATGGTGTGGGCAACAGTGCTTTCCAACATATGGTGTTAGTAGGATTCCTGCTTTATTCTAAGTAGACAGCCAAGGTGTACAAGGGAGAAACTAGGGATTCAGAGCCAGAATATTGAGGTGTCAGTCTGGGACAAACAGGAAGGACCCTGAATAAGAGACTGCATTGTTTATCTAATTTATAACTGCCTTGAAGCTCTTGTTGGATATGAGTCAAGGGGACCCATGAACGGAGATGCACTGGCTTTCTACCTTGGCACCCTGAACCTCAACCAAATAACAGGGATGGGAAAGGCTGCTCTTTTGGGTTAGAGACTTTATAATATAAACTAGGAGTCAGAGTGCTGTAGGGCCATTATTATCACAGGTAGAGTGTGCAGAACGATGACTCACAAAGATACTGGTTGGTTCATAGTAATGCCAGGCCTGGAACTACTCATAGCAAAGGCCAGTGGATCCCCCTTCCTGTGACCCAGAGCCAAGGTCTAGTGCCTTGGCTCCAAGACTTACCTTTGTCACTGTGGATGGATGTCAGCTCCTCAGTGGCACCCCGGTGCTCCTCACGGTTGGCCTGGCCAGGAGGCTGAGGGGACACCAGTGGCACAGAGGGAGAGCTGGTCATGTTGCCTGGCTCCAGGAGGAGGAGGGAACGGTCACAGCTGCTATTCTGTGGAGGAGCTGGGGCACGGTGCCCATCAGGGACCTCAAGTATCTGATGAGGAAGGAGAAGAGACTCAGTCCAGGGCCTTCTCAGGCCTGTGACATTGCAGTGACCCCCCCCAGGGGACTCCTGCACAAAGTCTCTTAGCCTAGAGGACAGAAGACTGTCACTTCCTCAAGCCATTTATTCCCTGACCTACCTTCAGTCTAGGAGAAACTCTGTTTCTCCCAGAGCATTTTTGTTCTTTTCCCTCGAGGCTTGTTAATCCAATATACCGTCACGTTCATTTGTATGATGTGATCAGTGCCCCTCTGTGTACGAGTCTCTTGGACACAAAGGTGATTGATACACAGGGTGACATAATAGGGACAAGGTACCACAACAGCACGCATGCTATAAGCCACTGCAGGACAAATGTGCAGATGGTTATCATACATTGAATACCTATTGCCCTCCTTTTTAAACATTCAGTGGTATTTGGATTCCCAGTGAACTAGTTGTGTACATGTGTTTGGGGGCATATGAAATCCTCCATATATCCAATTTACAAGGCAGCCGGGCCTGGCGTTGGTGGAGCACACCTTTAATCCCAGCACTTGGGAGGCAGAAGCAGGAGGATCTCTGTGAGTTTAAGGCCAGCCTGGTCTACAGAGCGAGTGCCAGGATAGGCTCCAAAGCTACACAGAGAAACCCTGTCTCAAAAAACAAAAACAAAAAACCCCAAACCAAAAACAAACCAAGGCAGCCAGAAGCCAGGTATGGTGGTGCATGCCTTTAATGCCAACACTTGGTAGGTAGAGGCAGTGATTTCTGTGAGTGCAAAACCAGCCTGGTCTACATAGTGAGTTTCAGGGTACATAGTGAGACCCTGTCTCAAAAAACAAAACAAAACAAAACAAAAAAACAAAAAAACAACAAAAACTAAATAAATAATACTAAATAAAATAAAAATCAGCCAATAGGTAAGTAACAAACTGAGGCCTGTACCCATCAGAATTATGTTCATACAGCCTAACTGCCATTCCCTAATTGAACTGTGTCAGTATACAAACGTGCAGAGACTACAAGCAAGGTAGCTGGTAATTCTCCTGTGGGATAGGGAGAAGGGTGCATGTGGACCTGGGCATGAGGGACTGATTGATGCATGTCACCAGTAGAGACAGAGGGAGGGAAGTGGCCTCAAAGTGAGGTGGCATGAGCTTGAGGTATGTGGGTGAGGGTGCCCAGTCCTCAGGGACCTGTCAGCTGACAGTCTCCTCGTAGCTAGGGCCCTCCTCTATGCTCATTTGTCATGGTTAATCTTGAGTGTCAGCGTTATTGAAGTTAGAACCCCAGTGGAAACAATCTCTGGGCATGTCTGTGAGGCATTACTTAAAGTAGGTTGACTGAGATGGGCAGACGTCCCATAAATGGGCATAGCACCATTCCCCAGGCTGGGGTCCCAGACTGAATAAAAAGTAAAATCAGACTGAACACAAGTATTCACTGCTCTGTTTCTGGCCAGTTAGTTTGTCACAGCAAAGATAAGTAACTAGCATGCCTGTCTCCACCACAAGGTCTTTCCTAATGACACCCACCTATCCCTGCCGTTCGTGTGCTTCTGGAAGAGAGGTGTTTACAGAGCTACAGCCTGAGAGGCCCCCAAGAGTGACCTTGTTATCTGCCCTCATACAGGTGCAGCCTGTCAGTACGCGCAAGGCAGCCACCACTCACCCTCAGCAGCTCCTCTTCACCCTGCTCCTTCACAAACACCTCTTCCAGCTCCTGGTTGAGTCCTTCTAGGCTTCTGTGCAGGCAAGGGCTGAGTCGCAGGACAGGGGACCCTGGGGGGAAGCTGGGAAGGGATGCCTAAGGAAAGGCAAATGAAGCAATCACATGAAGTCCCCACCAAGGCCCAGCCAGTAACCAATTATGACCGGGGTGATGATCATATCCACGTAGCTTTCTTCTTTACCCTTTTTCCAAGTTGGAAAAAAAAAAAACAATAAACTGGATACAGCTACAGATTTCAACAAGGCCATTAAGAGGGGCTTTCTCCAGCAGCGGGAGCTTTGAGGCATCTAGAGGGTGTTAGTGTCACTGCCTTAATTACACACGACTGGGGGGTAGAAGGAAAAGGCACTAAGAAGAGTGAGAGGTTCTTCCATTTCACCTTCTCCTGACCATCCGCTAGGCCATGAAACATCAAGGCAGCTGGCAGTGCTGCAAGGCTGGAAAAAACACTGTACACTACAAAACCCTGCCATGAAGGAAGACAGAGGGTGCCCGGTGGGCAGGGGAAGACAACATACCCTCCCTGCTCCCCGTACAGCATGGTCTCCTTGGACAGGGGAGCTCCGCTCCTTCTCCTTCCCACTTCGGCTCAGCTTTGTCCTCTGCAACTGTTGCTTCAACTTGGTGATCTAGAAGCCAAAGATGGAGGAGAAAGGAGGATGAGGCAAAGCCAAAGATATTGGCTCCTTCCCCTAGATGAAGCCTCTGAACATGAAGATTCATGAAAGGGACAGACTTTTTTTTTTTTTTTTAAATCTCAAAACAACTCAGTCAACTCCTCAACTAAGCTGGTTATCCTGCTTCTAGACTTGATTTTATGAATTGTCATGCATCCCCCAGGTAATCAGTCTCCAGACAGAAAACATGTAACATCATGGCTATGGATTGTAATGGACACTCTTCCTTTAAGATCATGGGTGGGCATAGTGGCACAGGCTTTTAATTCCAGCACTTGGGAGGCAGAGGCCAGTGGATCTCTGTGAGTCTGAGGCCAGCCTGCTCTACAGAGCTCGTTCCAGGGCAGGTAGGGCTGCTACACAGAGAAACCTTGCCTCGAAAATAAATAAATGCAAAAAAGGACAATGGACGGTTTCTGTTTTTCTATTTTTAAGAACCCCTTTCAGGAGACTGGAGAGATGGCTGAGTGATTAAGAGCACTTGCCACTTGCTGCTCTTGCTGTGGGCCTGAGCTCAATTCCCAGCACCCACATGATGACTCACAATCCTCTGTAACTTAGGTTCCAGGGGATCCAACATTGTCTTCTGAATGCTGTGGGCACCAGTCATGCATGTGATACATAGACATACATGCAGGCAAAACATTCATACATATAAAATCTAATATGCATATATATAATATATATATATATATATATATATATATATATATATATAGTGAGAGAGAGGGTTTCTCTGTGCAGCTTTGGAAAAGCTGTCGTGGCACTTGCTCTGTAGAGCAGGCTGGCCTCGAACTCACAGAGAGTTCAGTGATGCCTCTGCCTCCTGAGTGCTGGAATTAAAGGCGTGCAGTACCACCACCCAGCCTCTAAAAACTTTGAGCAGTGTCTTGCAAAGGTTAATTTTTAATTGTGTGTGTGTGCAGGTGAGTACACAGCTGCTCACAGACCAGAAGCACTGGATCCCCTGGAGCTGGAGTTAACATACAGGTGCCTGTGAGCTGTCTGACATGGGTGCTGGGAACTGGACTCTCACCCTTTGCAAGAACAACACTTGATCTTAACTGCTTCACCATCTCTCCAAACTGGCTGGTTTTTTTTTTTTTTTTTTTTTTTTTTTTTTCTTTCATTGAGACAAGGTTTCACTCTGTGTAGTCCAGACTGGCTTGGAGCTCACAACAATCTCCCTGCCTTAGCCTCCTGAGTGTTGGAATTATAGGCACGTGCTTCCATGCCTGCTTAAAAGTGGCATTTCTGAGGGTCAATAACAATTTCTCAAGTGATATTCTCAAGCGTCCCAAAGGCTTTCAGACCAGTGAGTATGGAAATCCAACCCTTGCCTTCATTTAAAAGTAAACTACACTGCAGAAAGATAGGTTCTCTAGAAGGGCCACATTTCATTTTGACTCCCAGTCCCTGTAACAACACAGGGTATCACTAACATTTTTTGTAGTCATGGAGGAACAAACCTACTATAATCTCAGCACTTGGGAGGTTGAATCAGAATTTGTAGTCTGAGGCCAGCCTAGGCTATACAGTAATATCCTGCCCTCTCTTCTGCCCGCCCCCCCCAAAAAAACAAAACCCCAAGCTAAACAAATAAGCAAACACTTTTGAATATGATTCCCATCAAACTTGTAATTCTGGGCCTTCCATCCCTGAACAGGACACAGAACTATATGAATGGGAGGAACCTAATGGGATTCAGAAAGTAGGTCTGCTGCCCACTGCCATAAAAGTTGTGATGATAGTCAAGAAGAAACCACTTTGTTAGATTATTGTTTTAGATTTCTTTAGTTTATGTATATGAGTGTTTTACCTGCACACATGTTTGCCTGGTGTCTGTGGAGGTCAAAAGAGGATACTGGATTTCCCCAGAACTGCAGTTACTGATGGTTGTATGCTTCCACGTGGATACTGAGAACAGAACTGGGGTCCTCAGAAAAAACAAGTACTCTTAACCTCTGAGCCATCTCTCCAGCCCCTAGAAAGTGCTGTGTAATTACAGTGCTGGGGGCTAGGGCTAAGGAGGCACTCTGGGCTGCATCTCACAGCCGAAGAATGTGCTTTTAGACTTGCTGCTGTGGATCAATCAGACCATGAAGACTATGGCTCCCCACCCTTCCTGTGCAGAATTTGTTTACTCTGCCATTCAAGGCTTTGAGAACTTTTTACATTTCCACTTGGCCTTAAGCTTGCAGACCAATCACTTTCCATTTTCTCAGTGCTCTAAGCATCAAGGAGGGCAGAAACAACTTCCCCCTGTGAACAGGTCAGGGATGAGTTCTGGTAAGTTGACCCTTTCTTTGGAGCTGCCACATGACACTTCAGGCAGAGCTGGGTTAGAAGCCTTGGAATTCCAGCCTATGGTTTTCTCTCCCCAGTCTCAATGCCTGCAACCCTCCTGGGGCAGAGGGAGGGAGGGCCAAAACAAAGCATTTAGAAACTCGGGATTATTTTTCTCTTCTTTTAAAAGAAAACTAGGTGGATGATTAAGCAGTAAACGAGGCTGGGAGCTCCTGATTCCCAAGGGTTTGCTCCTTGCCTCCCTTCAGTCTCTGAATCACTTATCAGAGTCCAACCTAAAGTAACCATAAAGCAAACAATTCTTCCAGTCTGGATGCTGGAACCATCAGCAGCCACTGGCCAGGGGTTTTCTCTAGCAAGGGGATCTGTGGTCCTACAACCAAGCCAATGGAAGGCTGGTAGTCAGTTGGAGAGCCATTCCCTCAGGAGGAGGCTGGCAGGAGGTAAGAGAGACCGCAAGTGTAGCTATCCTCTAGTAAAACTCACACAGTGCCAGGAGGTTGTGGAGAGAGGGCAGTTACCTCTTTTCGGTGGTCTGTGCTGCCCCATGATGCTGATCGCTTGTGCATGCAGAAGCTGGCCCGCTCACCTTCCGGCTCTTGCCAGGATAGGGGAGTCTGTAGAAAGACATGCAGTAAGACAGGCAGCTCTGCAGGCAGGAAGCAGACAGGCAGTTTCCTGGATAGAGGTGGCGGCCTATGAAGCCTTCTCACATCTGTTCATCAAACTCATGGACACACCCAGCCTGCTTTATTCTTCCAGGCAAGGAAAGCCACGTACATGGCCTCATCCCAATTTTGACTCTCCAGTAAATCTTCCCCAAGGCCCAACAGTGTTGACCTCTCTCCTTTTTTTATTGTGTATTTGGTGCTTGGGGTGGAACCCAGGGCCTTCCATATGCTAGGCAAATGTTCTGCCACGGAGCTACATCCTCAGTCCTTCCTTATCGCTTTCTTTCATGTGTTATACTCCCAGTCAGTCTGGGTGTACCCCAATGGTGAGGCCAAATACTGTCCCTCTCCCAAGAAGCTTCAAAAGAGCCCTGTGTCCTTTATCCTCATCCCCTGTGTGCCCAGCCAAGGCCAAATGCCTGGAAGCCCACCAAAAACAAGTCACCAGACAGGATTCCAAAGCAGAACCAGGAGAATGGTCTCCCTGGGTGCCTCTGGATGAAGCAGGTGGCAACTGTGTAACACAGTGCCTCAAGCTTATTTCATCACACAGAGGGAGTGTCAGGGACTCCAAAGTCCCCCTGAACAAGCAAGGAAAAGACAGTTTCTGAAAATGGAGCCAGAATTCTGAATCCAGTGCTGATTCTTATCCCTTGGCCTGCTCACACCTCCTCCCCTCAGGCCTTCCTTGCTCCTGATGGAGAAGGTCTTTCTATTTGTTGCCTTCCTTTCCCTGCTGCATGAAGGCAGGCGATCCAAGATGGTGGTGGAAGAGCCACCTCCAACAGAGGAAGCTATTGGCTTCAAGCATGAAGCTCAAGATGCCCAGATCCCTCCCCATCACCAATATCCTACTTCCATTCCAGGAGAGGGGCCAAGCGGAGTACTCCAGTGGGACCAGCTCCTCTCTGACTACTGTGCACAGGCTGCCAAAAACACAGGGCCTGGGAACTAGCTCCTCTAAGAGATCTGCTGACCTTCCCCTGAGAGGCTGCTGCACACAGAGTGGGGGAGGATCAGGGGAAAACAAGACTCCTCACCACTCAACAGCTGCTAAGGGGAGCTCACAGGGCAGTCTGAGCCAGGACTTCCTTGTGCGACAGCTGCATGCAGAGAAGCCACTGCAGACGGAGCCTCTGGCTCTTCCTGTCTGCAGCTGCCCACGGGCAGGACCTTTACCAGGGCTGTGTAATACAGCCAGGGTGAGACACCACGGCTGTGTAATACAGCCAGGGTGAGACAACTGGCATCACCAGGGAGCACACTGTCAGGCCCATTCCCATCATTCTTCCTTTATGAAAAGCACAGCTAAGAATGTAGGCATGTACCCCAAAGTCCTCAAGTGACACTGGCTCTTACTGTCTCTGGAAACCAACTAGCTGATCTTCTAAATGTCCATGTCTCTCTAAACCAGGATGTCAGATCCCAGAAGAGCTACACAGGCTGACAGGGAACATAATCCCGTTTCTCCCTCAGCAGCTAGGATTCTGCAGAAACCCGCATGCCCTCCTTTACTGGTATGCCTAAGCCATGCTTGCAGACCACCAGGGCTACTAGTATAGCTGAGTCCCACACATCCCTGTCACCCCTGGAAAAGGAGCAAAGAGCATAGAGGAGAGGTGGCAAACCAAGGGGACGACGTTCACTCTGCCTCTGAGAAGATACTGTGCTCACAAGCAAGTGGTGAAAGAGAAAATACCCCAGGCTACTCACTGGCTACTAACACCCCTTCAAATGCCTCAACTACCTCCTTCTAGGAGATGTGAATAAATGGGTAGTTTGGACTGGCACAGGAGTGGAGGAAGGATGTGGAAATTATGGCAGTTGGGATCATCTCCTCTCCCAATCCATTCCTTGCCACTCTCTCTCTCCTTGGCAACACCGTTCCACTGTCTACTCTCCACTCTGTGCAGATCTAATGTTAAGGACATCACTTTATCTCAACATCTACTGCCTGCCCAAGGAGATCAACACCCCATCCCTCATCCCAGGTGCTCTCTGTCTTGCCAGGCAAACTCATCTCTCTCTCATTTTCTGTACCTCACCCACTGGTCTCTAAGCCTCTAAGCCATTTAAGATGGTGTGCCTGACAGCCTTGCCAGAGTGTCCTTGTAAGAGAGGGGCTGAAGGAGCTGGCATATGCTGAGAGGATAAAGCAACGTGATCACCAAAACACAGACTGGAACAAAGTGCTATAAGCTAAGGCAGCCCCTGGAAGCTAGAAGAGGCAAGGCACCCCCCGCAAGAGCATGGCACCCTGAACCAGATGTCGGGCACCTGCATACAGTACCAGCACTTGGGAGGCTGAGGCTGTAGGACTGCAATTTTTAAGGCCAACCTGGGTTCTGTATTAAGGACCCTACCACAAAAAGTAAAAGAAAAAACTTCCAAGAGCATGGCCCTGCCAATACTTTCATGTCAAGTCACTGCAACTAATGTGGAGACTTCTGGAATCTAAAACTCTGGAAGAATACACATCTGCTATCTTAAGCCGTGAAGTCTGAGGTAATTGTTAAGCAGCCTGACTTCCAAGCTGCTTCCAGGCTGGTGTGAGTACTGACAAGCCTAGCTAGCACGGCGGTCTAGCCTTCTGCCTCTCTAACTGCAGTATGTCAAGTGGGGAACCGTGCCCCTGGTTGCTCAGGACCCTCCTTTCTAAGCCTCACAATAAAGGTCTAGATCATGGTGTCCTTGGGGAACAGTAAAGTCACAGCTAAGACTCATCTCAAGGAGGTCACCAGGTAGGGTCAGGCCAAGCTCTGGGACAGCAGTGTAAGTGGTCATTCTAGATGTCCCTTTGTGTAGAGAAGAGTCTAGGCATAGAAGACCAAGAAGTCATGCTGTCAGGGGACTTGTGCTCTAGAATGCATGAACTTACTCCACACCCTGGCTAAGGGAGCCACTGAGTGAGGAGTAAGCTTGCTTACTAACCGTGAGTGGAGCAGCCAGCTGTGTAGCTGCTCAGACTGTTCAGAACTGGACATGCATGGGCAGAGTAAATGCCTTGCCAGGGATTCTAAGATTCCAGGGCAACATGTGGAAGGAAGATGGGCATGGAGGTGGAAGACGGCTTCCCAAGGAGCTAACAGAGCAACAAAAAAGGGAGGAGGATGGAAACCTCCACACTGGAATGTCTTTCTTGGCCTCCAACCTCGCTAAATTTCTACCTCGAGGTCATGACCAGAGGGGTAAGAGTCCAGGCCCCCAATGTCTCTAGTGCCCCTGGCTCCTGAGCATACTCTAATTGCAGGGCTGGTCTGGTCTGGTCTGGTCTGGTCTGGGCTCCCCCCTCCCCCAACCCGAGATGATTTCTCTGTGTAACAGTCCTGGCTGTCCTGGAACTCGCTTTGTAGACCAGGCTAGCCTCAAACTCACTGAGATCTGCTGGCTTCAAACTCACTGAGATCCACCTGCCTCTGCCTTCCAAGTGCTGGGACTAAAGGCGTGACACCACCACCCAGCCGACTGGGTCTTAAGAACAGTTCCCATTATGCCAGTTAGAAGTAAAAAACAGCATAGGACTTGACTGGGGAGAGATGGTTGGTCAGAAGCCACATGACAAGCTCAATTCAGCAAGGAGACAGTCCCTTAGGACTCTGGCCAAACAAAAAGGCTCTGAGGGTGGTCCACTGGCCAGCACTGAGAACTCTGGCCGCAGGTGGCCAAAGCCACCACTTCTAACTCGACAGTGACTAGACGACCTTCAGATTTTCCATCATGGCTTCATTTTCAAGTATTTGCTGTATTGTCAAATCATGTACTGAGCCACTGGTCCTGGTCACTAGTTTGGAAAACAGGCTCTGTGCCCAAGTTCTCATACCCACAAAGAAAAACAATTTTTAAAGGCCTGTGATGGTCATGCTGAATTATGTGCCATCAGTTCCCTGAATCAATAATTCAAGGAAAGGGAGGACCCCCACCACCACCACCACCACAGGTGGAGAAAGACAAAAAAGAAGTCCTCTCCAAGCAGTAATCAGCCTCCCCCTCTGGCCTTTAGGATCCTCTATGATGATGTCTGTTAAGGACTTAGGCTATTTTTCCCCCAAAGGATAAGTCAGAGGTCTATGCAGGAGAATCACGAAGGCTTTCCCATCTTACCAATTAATAAAGCAGAAATGGGGATGGAAAGAAGCAGAGTGTGGGTGGAGCCAGGCAGGGCAGGTACCCAAGGTCCCTTCTGTGGACAGGATGCCACCAGCTGGGGAACTCTGCTCCAACAGCCAACCCAGCTGTGGTAAGCTGACTTCCTCCCTCCAGAATACAAGGCTTAGATGCTTTGCACAGCAAGAAGGGAGAGAGGTGACCACAGCCACTGGCATGCACTGCCTACCATCACTGGCCCTGGTCTGGGCTTCGACACTAAGAGAGACCAACCCAAAGCACTTGGTGGCCAGTTCTGGGTTACCAAATGGCCTGGGGGAAGGGTGTGTCACAGAGGAGAAAACACACTCAAATAATCCAAGGCCATTCTGAAAACCTCCTCTCAGACACAGGACTTCCCACGAAGAATGGAGATGCCACAAGGGGTAGGGCTGGGGGAGTAACTTCCTAGTCCTTTCTGGCCCTGTTCTCAGGAAGCTAATACTGGGGACACCTGCTCACACCTTTCACATTGTCCCTCCAGGCCCCAAAATGCTGAGCTGGAGGTATAGTTCAGGAGTATAGCATTTGGCCAGCATGTGCAGGCCCTGGGTTCCATCCTGAACACTGCAAAAGATACAACCATGCATGGAGCAGTACTTCCAGAATACCCCTCCCCAGTTGTTACACTCACACCTCTTCCTCCTTCCTAGAATAGCTGTTTCCCCAGATAAGACCCTCCCATATCCCAGTTGTTCCTCTTGCCTCAAATATGGAACCTAGATTCTGTGTCAATCTGAGGCTGCCCGAGGATTGGCTTCATACTTGACTGAAGAAATAAAACGTGGCCAGGAAGGTGACCCTGAGATTGCTGACAACACTGCCATAGACTCAGATGCTAAGAGCTTTTAATCATCTGCCCTATGCAGAGGCCTGGAGAACACAGCACACCCAGCACTCTAATGGCAGGTGTTCTCTGTCTGGGGCCTGGTTCTGACACTGGCTTGGAATGAGCAAGGCCCCTGGGCCCTCTAGGGGTTTTCTGGGAAGGTGCTGCTTAGCCTCAGCCATAACTGAGGAGTGTCAGGGATGATATGGCCTCCAACACAAAGGAGTTTAGGCACCCAGAGCAGTAACAAGTCCCTGCCAGTGAAGCAGACCATGAGATGCTCCACTACTGGGGCTAGAGGAGAAAGGGCCTGAGTAAGGAGAAGGATAGGAAGAGCTGGCTTGCTCAAAGCAACTGGAAATTCCCCCCAGAGCAGTAACAAGTCCCTGCCAGTGAAGCAGACCATGAGATGCTCCACTACTGGGGCTAGAGGAGAAAGGGCCTGAGTAAGGAGAAGGATAGGAAGAGCTGGCTTGCTCAAAGCAACTGGAAAAGGTCTGGCACCCACCATTCCCTACGGCTGAAAAGCTGTTAATGAGCTCAGTGGCAAAGCATAGCACTTGCCTTGTATGCTCTATCTCCAGCATCACAAAACTAACTACTAATTAACCAACTACCTACCTAAGCTTTCAAAGGCCTTACTACATCTAACCTCCCCCCTCCTCTTTTCCTTTCCCCACACTCCCTGAAAATGTCTTCTTTACCCATCCTTTCTGGGTGATCTCTTACAGTTTAGAAGGGAAGTACACGGTCTTCTGGGGAGATGGCAACTGAGCCTAAGGCTTTCACAGTGTAATGCCAGTGCTAAAAATGGCAGCTTGTGACAGGCCAGGGGCCTCGAGCAGGAATTTGAGTGGAGCCCAAACCTAGAAGCAGAAAATTCCCTGAAGAGCAGGGCTGGAAGATGGGCAGAGCGCATACTTGGGGTTGGATGCTTATGCTGATCAGAATTCTCCCACCTCTTGCCTGCAGCCACAATATTGACAGGTTGCTAAGAGTTCCTCGAGGGCTGGAGCCCATCCCGGAGAAGAGGAAAGCTGGAGGGCTGGGCCTTGCCAGACCCATGGAGGCACATCGCTGACCTCTGTCTTGCTGTGGCAAGAAGCCCAGACTTGTTATATAAAAGATCTGGCCTGCAGCTGGAGCTGAAGCAAAAACATGCAGTTGAGAACCCAAGCCACTCCACTTGGCCAGAGATGTCTGAGGCCAGGCCTGCCTAAAGGTGACAAAGAGAAAGCTATGTGAGGATTGGAATGGTCATTTTGCAGAAGGCTGGCAAACAGGAAGTGACAGAGGTGGGGATAAGTGTGCCACACAGATGCCTGGTATCTAACAAAGGATGCTTATATGTCCATCTATTTGAAGAAGCAACCTCAAGCCCCACTCCTGCAGGAAGCCCTCCTTGACTAAGTACATTATCTGGCCTGAGTCCAAGACAAAGGAGTGTGCTCCTCTAGGGCCACGAGGGAGAAGCATAACCCACCATGTTAAAAGGATAAAGGGAGAATAGTGCTGGGTTCCCAGGAGGGTGCCCACTGCTCTCCCTACCCCTTCCCCTCCCACCTGCACATCTAAAGACCACCACTGATCTCACCAATAATTTTTGGTACACACTGGCCATTTCTGGGAAAATCTTGTTCCTCTAAACTTTGCCAGACACCACCCTATGACATCCCTTAGCTGTCAGTTCACTGGCCCTCAGGAACTGGAAACCAGGCTCAGAGAAACCAAACCTTGTTCCCATTGAAAAGGAGTGAGCATTCAAACATTCATTAATAACATTTGAAAATGGATGACATAAAAAGAAAGGAACCGATGGGATGTGCTGAGAAGCAAGCAGAGTGAGTTGCACGGGAAGGGGGTCCATATCCTTTGGCCATCCGCATGCAGCATGCATGTGGGCAGAGCAGATACACTCTACTCAGCAGCACACAAAGGAAGAGCTGCCTCACCCTATCTTGTCTTGTTACCCAGAATGGAGAGCTAAGGCAAGCTGGGTGTGCTTTCCTGCATTTCCACCTATGGAAGAACAACTCAATTGTTTTGAAGTTGAGCAGGACTCAGCCTAAGATGCCCACAACAGGAGCCTACTCTCACCAACTTAACTGCTAAGAAGACTGAAGTCCTGAGTCAGACTAGGAAATATCTTTGGGTGTCTTCCAGATGATATGACTTCTTGCTCAGGCTAACATGGCCTTATCCAAAAGATGGACACATGGACTGGATGGTCTGTGGAAGGTCCCTTCCAAGGGCACGGCTCTTCATGAAAACACAGAAGGAGAGAAAGCTGAGCTCTGCAGGACTCAGATGGGTGCCCTGGAGACCTCACCTGGATGCTGGAAAGGTGTAGCTCCTCACAATAATGTCCTACTCCTATTGCTCCAATGGGGTTGGCCCTGGCTCAACATCTCTTTGGCCTTTTCCTGGGGAAATGCAAACTAGACTGAATGTTGGCTTTAGTTTACCTTCAGGAAGGCAAATCTCATTTCAAAAATCCCGGCTTCCAAAGTCAGATGTGGAGTTCCCACATGTAAACCCTGAAAGCCAAACTGAAAACCCCAGCTTGACATCCTTCTTCACCAGGCAGGTGGAATGCAAACTCTTTTTCATCTACATTTACAAAGAAAAACAACAGCAATGACAACCCTGGTAGACAGTAGAAGATGAAAAGCTTCTATGAACAACCAAAACCCAGGACAAGTCATTTCAGTGACAGAACTTGTGAGTGATGGACCAGAGGCCCCCTCAGCCAGCCCTCCTACCCATCCTGATCCCATTAGGAGACATCTGTATTACCTGGGTGGCTTTGTCATTTGTACAGCAGGTGAAGGCCCCATCAGCATCTCGTGGCCACTGGCCCAGAAGGTAGGAACTGAGGACGGTGTCCAGGGAGAATGTACGTCGGACCTGAGGTGGTTGAGGCCTACACACCGACTTTTCTGGGGCCACCGAACATGGGACACTGGCTGAAAGAGAGCACAGCCCACAACGCCTTGACATCAGCATGGAGAAAGGAGTCATGGTAACCAGCCTGCTCTCTTGCAGGACAACTCACCTGCAGGCCATGTCTTCATTCCCCTCCTGAAAGAATTCAAAGCAGCAAAGGCGCATCCTGTCTGACCAGCTTTCCTGACTTCACTTTAGCACTAGGAACCATTTTCACATTGGAATTAGGGGTTACCTTGTTTGTTATTTTGTTTTTAGAGACAGGGTTTCTCTGTGTAGCTCTGGCTTTTCTGAAACTAGCTGTATAGCCCAGACTGGCCTTGAACTCACAGTGATCCAATTGCCTCTACCTCCAAGTGCAATTGAAGGCATGTGCCACCACTGCCCAGCTTTAGGAGCTATTTTAGACTCTGAGTTCAGAGCTACCAAGTTTCCACATTGAGACTCCTTGGAGGAGCTCTGTTTCCCAGCCTTAGAGGGAACTCCATGTTCACAAAAACCAAGATTTCTTCCCCTTTTTAATTTTCTACTCTCCTTCCTCCCTCCTGAATGCATTTTAGGGAGTCTACATTGCACAAACTTGGCTCAATTCATTAAATTTTTTTTCTTCTTTTTGTGCTGCTGGGGACTGGATCCAGAACCTTATAAAGGCTAAGCAAGCATTCTACCACCAAACTGTATTCTACAACACCATTTCCCCCGTTTTTTTTTTTTTTTTTTTTTTTGAGATAGAATCTTTCTACATAGCCCAGGATAGCCTTGCATTGCTAATGTAGCCCAGGCCCACCCTGAACTCACACTCCTGCCTCTGTCTCCCGAGTAGATGGGATTATAGGTGTGCACCACCATGCCCAGCATGAAGGAGTCTTCCTATTTCCTTCAGTTTTAGGTGGTTCAAGGAGAGTGAGGGGACTGGCATGGAAAGAACCACAGAACACCAAAAAGAAATTATCCAAGTCTGCAGGTCTTTTCCTCCCCCTTCTCTGTGTCTTATCTGAATGGCAAAAACAAAAACAACAAAGGGACCATTATAAATGCATTCATTTTATTTTATGTGGGTTAAATATTTCTGGGAGAAATTAAAAGTTGAAACTGTTTTTAAAACGTAAGCGTTCTGGAATCGTCTGGAAGTTTCAGTGATCTGGGTTGACCCTATTTTCCATGGCCATGTTCAAAACACTCCACTATCTTCAGACCTCTAAAGACTCCCTTCAAACAGAGCAAAATACTTTCACATCTGTAGTAATCCCTCGGTAATTTATGTGTATATTCAGCACAGCAGAAAGAACTGGGAACTGTAGGTATAAATAGACTAGAAGAGGGTTTATATTAAAGAGACACAAAAAGATTGTCAGTTCCTCAAAAAATTAAACAGAGAATTCCCTTAGGGTCCTGAAATTCTACCTCTCTGTATAGACTCTCCTCAAAAAGAAAAACAAAAAAAAAAAAAACCCACAAAAAATTTAAAAACAAAAGCAACAACAAAAAAAGAGATTTGAAAAATTATTCGTATACCCATGATCATAGTAGCATCAATTATAATAGCCCCAACTTGGAGGCAACCTGAACTACAGCACTGATGGGTAAGATGAAATAAGCGAGACACAGACAGGCAGGCAAATGCTGGATGATTCCATCTTCATGAGGCATCTGGAATAGGCAAATCCATGGGAGCAAGAGGGAGATAGAGGTGACCATGGGCACAGGACGAGGAGGAATGGGAGTTACTGTTAAAATAAATATCGACTGCCGGGGATGATAAAAAATTCTAGAAATAATATGGTGGTGGCTACACTTTAAATGTACGTATGCCACTGAATTGTAAACTTTAAGATACTTAAAATGATAAATTTTATATTATTTATGTTACCAGTTTTAAAAAGATACCAACAATGTCATATTCTCCAAATTAAGTGTTTACATATTTTGAAAGGCTTGTAGTCAATATAAAATAAATTATACCGTATCATATTTTGCCTTATTCAGGCCATTATAAACCCCCAATTCAAAACATCAACAATCTACTTATTTGCCATTTTTAAAGATTGTATAATACCAAACAGTGATTTGTTTAACTATCTATATTACTGAACATTTGGTTTCCTCTCTAATATGGAGATCATCAACGTTAGTGCATAGCCAACCTTTATTCTTAGGTCATCTCCCTCAGGCAGCAAGTAACACTCACTTAGAAGAACTTAAAAATGACTTTTAATGACAAAAGTTATAAATTATCAAAAAGTCAAAAAATATACAAACCAACCAAACAAAATACAAAAACAAAAACCCTTGCCGGGGCGTTGGTGGCACATGCCTTTAATCCCAGCACTCGGGAGGCAGAGGCAGGAGGATCTCTGTGAGTTCGAGACCAGCCTGGTCTACAAGAGCTAGTTCCAGGACAGCCTCCAAAGCCACAGAGAAACCCTGTCTCAAAAAAAAAAAAAAAAAAAAAAAAAAAAAAAAAAAAAGAAAGTGAGAGACACTGTATCATCATGTAATTCTTACCTTCTGAATGTGGATACATATATATTTTAACATTAAGAAATGGGCTGGGCACCAGGAGGCGGTGGCGTCCTCCTTTAGCTCCGGCACTCACCAGGCAGAGGCAGGAGGGATCTCTATGAGTCCGAGACCAGCCTGGTCTACAGAGTGAGTACTAGTTGGCCTAGGAGGCCCACTTCTGCCTCCCAGGTCCCACCACCCAGCATTTTTAGTTTTGTGAACTGGACAGCTGGGGATACATGGTCTTAAAACAATTAGTTAATTAATTAATTAATTAATAATGGAAGCACATCATAATACTGTTTGGCTGTGTTTCCACCGCCTTTCCATATCAATATATTCTTATTACAGCACACTTTTGCAGGGATGTTGGGGTTTTTTTGTTGTTTGTTTTTTCAAAACAGGGTCTATGTAACAGCTCTAGCTGTCCTGGAATTGGCTTTGAAGACCAGGTTAGCGTCAAACTCAGAGCTCTGCCGACTTCTGCCTCCCAGGTCCCACCACCCAGCATTTTTAGTTTTGTGAACTGGTCTCTTGATATAGCCTAATCAGGCCTTAAACTTGAATTCTTCCTGCTCTCACCTCCTAAGCATTTAGATTATAGGTATGTACCACCATGCCTGGCAATACATTATTTTAAATGATCATACCATCTCTATGCTAATATTCTCCAAAGGCCCTTTCAAATCTGGAAGTCAGGAGCTGGAAAGATAACTCAGAGGGAAAAGACACCTGATGCCAAGTCTAAAGACCTAAGTTTGATACTCAGGACTCATTGGTGGAAAGAAAGAAACAACTCCTGAAAGTTGTCCAGGTTGTCCTCTGACCTCCACTCATGCCATGGCCATGCATGTGTGCAACACACACACACACACGCACGCACGCACGCACGCACGCACGCACGCACGCACGCACGCACGCACGCACACACACAAATAAAAGTGTCAAAAAAAAAAAAAAAAAAGGCCAGGTGTCCAAGGTCCCTGTTATGGCCCACTGTGCACATCACTCCTTTCTCTACATCAGACAAGGCACACGGTACCATTTCCCATTACTGACCAGACAGACCTTCTCTCCTTGCCTGGTGCTGAAATCTGAGCTGTCTGCCAGGCCAGCCTAACTCCTCCAACTCCTCCCCACCTCCAGATCCTGGGAATCCCCTTCAAGGAGTGTCTCAGATGCCTTGGGTTTGCTCAGTATACTTTGTACTCTTCTGGTACTTACTGTTCTCTCTCTCTTGGGCTGCAGGTATTTGTGACCCCTAGATAATGAATAGCCAGTGAGGTCAGGCTTTGATTTACCTTCATAGCCCAGTGTCTACAGCATAGAGCTGACAGCTGGCAAGAACCCAAATACTCCAATATACTGAAAAATCTACAGTAGAAAGATAAAGCTTCTGTAATTACACCACTGAATCCGGGCAGATCCACACCACCCACTCACCTTGAGTAAAGACCCCATAGCCACTTGTCTGTCATTCCATCTCAGAGGCTCTGGAGGCCTCAACCTCTTCCTTTACTTTCTTGTCACCTTGTTACTGCTGTAAGTTAGTGACAGCCCACTAGTTCAAGCCTCAAATTTACTTTCCACACAAACCATTCAGTTGCTCATTATTCTGCACTAAGCTTAAGATGTAAAGTGCTAACTCAAATATTTCTGGTCTACAATAGGAACCAGCTCAGCTCAGACACTGAAATGCTAAGCCTGTCCCTAACAGCCCAGTGAGAAGGCAGAGCCCTAGAAAGCACCTTTGCAGTATCATGTGACAGATAATCAAAGAGGCTGGTGAGCAAATGACGGGCACATAGACTAGGATGTCACAATCCTAGAGGCTGCTTCTTCCTCATTTTGAAGGACAGAGACTGTGACTCCAGGACTGAGGAATAGTGAGATGGGGAGAAAGGCCATTCAGAATCACCTGCCCCATCCTCTCAGCTGAAGACTCTCCAGAGACCCTGAAATATCTTATGCTTATACGACATTCCTCAGTGGTGCCCCATTACTACAAAGTACTTTGGCTTGCAGTCACCTTTTCCTCTCTTGTCAGCCCTGGAAAGCGACAGGGAGACTGAAGAAAGTCAAGGCACAAAGAAGCAGTGTCTAAAGACATCCCTCATCTCAAGAAGGTGGCAGCAACCTAAACCAGCCTCTCTTCCACCTGCTTGGAGGCTGCTGGATACATGGAGAGGGGAGACTGCCTTTTTAGCTCTGCTCGGGGACAAGGCATTATAAGAGGTAGGGGTAGGCCTGATTTTGGGTCTCCTGTAAATTGTATTTGTTTTCATTTGTTTCTTATGAGGCTTTTGAAATATGTCACAGAGGACCTTAGGGACAACAGCAACCACACAGATTTTACATCAGTTCCTATCACCCCTCATAGCCACCCTGGTCAATTAGGTCCAATTTCAAGAACAGTGAAGCGAGTGGTACTTCACTCACACTACTAACAGATAGAGTCCAGGAAATACTCAAAATCCTGGAATTGGTATGAGAATCATCCATTACTCACTTGATAGTA